TCTGCCCTGAAAACATTTTAACTGGTCCCCCTTTCCCTTTTATTCTCTGACCACTGGGTATGCAAAACTGACACCTGATATGCTGAAAAAGATAATTTTTCTGGTTTCATTTTAGATAAAACATAGAATGGCAGAAATATCTGTGTTAAAACTGTGTTAAATCTGTGTTTGTGTCTGATTTGTCTTTTCCACCAAGACATAACTCATCTGAATCTAAACACTTTTTTGTTAGGTGTGTAGGTGAAAGTCTGTTTGAAAGTGGATTGTTCCAAGAAGACAGTACAGAGCATTTCTGATATATTGAAAACACAGTTTCCCTTTAATCTTGGTGGGTTTTTTTAAAAAAAAAACAGTATGGTTTGCAGCTATTTTCAACAGTTAAATTTCTGGTTTTTTAAGTACAGGTGAATGAACAAAAATATACTCAATATGCAAATATGGTTTTGTGTATTTTGAACACATCAGAGCACAAGGCTAAGCTCCTTTTTCAGTTTTAGAGATTATTGCCATTTTTTCAGTGATAAATAATGCAAACTTGTTTGTTTAATAATTAAAACTACCAGTACTTTCTGTGGTTATCAGATCACAAGCAGAGTTTTTAAAGAAGTATATCTGGTCACAAACAACTACTGTCAGTATTGCAAACTACCCTCAAGTTTTCTTTTCCATTTGGGAAGAAAAAAACAACATGTGGGGGCAAGGAAAGGGTGTTTCTTGATGGCTTTTCTTTTTCATGCCATAAAAAAATGCCAGGCACTATACTTCTCTGGACGCGCAGCAGCATGCTCCGTTACAGAGTCAGGCTGACTGAATGTCTTTAGGTAGCTTTGGCTGCCTTCACAAAGATCTCATTCAGCTGCTCATGCCTCAGTTCTTCAGCCTCCAACGTTTTCTTTGTCATTTCCCTGTCCCTGAGCAAATAAGTGTGTTGGTACAATTTTACAGAGACCAGTTATTAATGTGAAATTGGTCTTCAAATCACCTGGGAGCTAGTAATGCATCTCTGGAATTTAGTTTACCATGTGATTATTGAAACGTTTAATCAAAGCAAGCGATGGAACTCGGCACACCAAACACAAACTCTGGCTGTCTGATAACTGCTTGTGAATTCTTGCAGCGTCACTGCCGTGTTCCCCACCCGCCCCCGTGGACCCTCTGGCTGTTTGTGCCCATCCTGCAGCTCCCACCTACGCCCACTGCAGTGTTTGCCAGGTGAGTGTCGCGTACGGAAATCGAGGGAAAGCGGAGGAGACTGTATGAATGAGCTGTAGGTTTATGGACTTGTGGAGTGAAGGCTATAAATTTGGTCACTGATCTGCTTAAGAAAGTGAAAGTAATGCAGTTTATGTATATCTAATTCAAAGAAACACTGAACATTAAAAGGGTAGTTTGGTAATTCTAATGAGGCTTCAGGGTAGCAGCATAGTGGGTGTCCTCATCAGTGGATTTTTTTTTGCTTGACTTCACCACAGTTTCTTTTAGATAACAAGCCTACATTTTTCTTTGGGGAATGTCCTTGCCTGGACAAAAAGAGATTCTTTAGTATTATAAAAATACTGGGAAACAGCTCCACGGTTTTGTCCCAGACAGCTTTCTGCAGTCCTGAGCTTCAGTTCATGAACGAGAAAAACTAAGGTGCCTTTCAGAATTGGCTGCACGTCAGAGATGTCTTATTAAAGAGAACTACAGTACTTCCTGTGAACACTTTCTAGAATTCCAGTGGAAACTGCACCTTATTTGGAGGCCCTGGCTTATCAAACATCAAAAAATCTGCAGTAAAACTGCAAGGACTTCCTTTTGTATTACAGCATAATGCAGACATATTTTTCTTCACAGAGGACAAGCAAAGTGAGCTATGCTCATGCGTGTTGAAAAAGAGTTGACCTCCCCAAGCTTGACCATCCAGTTTCCTGTCTTGTAATTATCATCCCTTGTCTTTTATTCTATTTCTTTTTTATATAGAAGCTTATCCAAGATGGCCAAATTATGGCCAGGATCACATGCTGGTGTAAGGCTATAAATAGCTACTGGCCAATCATGCCGTTGATACTCTAGTATTTATTTTTCACACAGTGCATCTTTGTCCTCTCTTTCATCATGAGCTGCTTTTTCATCCAGGACATGAGGATGAGTCTGAATGATGGGAAGTCATAATCCAATAACTTCTTGTCTCAGAAGGCTGAGCTCAATGTCTGGGACAGCAGATCATTCCAAAGGAGTCATCAAGCGTGGTGGTGTGGATAGATTGAAAGATAGTATAAATACACTGTCCAAATGGTCTAGTAAAAATCATTGTTTTGAGAAGCAAGTCCACGGGCAGCGTGTGGAGTCAAAGAAGATTTAGGCCACTTCCTAGTGGATGGATGCTTCGATAACACAGCTCTAACCAGGGAACTGCCAGTCAAAAACTGCTGGTGCATCTGGGCAGAGATTGCTGGAAGGCGACCCTCTGTGTTAGCAGCCCAAAGGCAAGCAGTGCCATGGAGCAGTTCTGCCGGGGCGGTAACTGGCTGTCTCTGAGCAGGAGAACACAAATGCCGTACAGAATGGATCAACAAGACTTCTGGAGATGTCCGAGTCATAGTGTAGCACAGATCATTTTTCCTGGCACATAGCGACAGGGGCTGTGCAGATGGTCAGGAAGACAGCAGTTTGCCTGTGCTTAGCACAGAGCTGTGGAGAATCATCTGTTCACCTTCTGTGTGCTGTGGGGTATATACTTCCCCAAACTGCTGAGGGTTGCAGCCACCTACAGCATTGATCATCTTGCTCTGCACAAATCCTCAAAGCCAGTAAAATCCATCAACCCTGGCTGACGATTTTCTATTTTCTTTACATAAAAATAGCACTTTTGCATTGTGTTTTTCCACTCAATATCTTCCACCAATTGCAAGAATTCAGTGCAATGCTTTGGAAAGGTGGTTTCCAGGGCATTTTAGGCTGTTGGACCATGCAGTGGCCTACATGAGACTACTCCCAAAGTCTATGCAAAGTCTATATTTGATCTGCTACAGCTTTCCTAGTCGGTAGTCCTGTGGCTTCTTGTTCTCTAACTTTCTCATCTAGCAACTAGCATTTTGCTGACTGTTACCTCAGCTAGAAGGTCTGAGGAAAATCGAGCACTAAGGACTAATCCTTCATACCACACCTCTTTCAAAATAATATGGTATTTTAAATATACCTGAATTTCTGTTCTAAATCATATGACTCCTGTTTGTCAGAAGACATTACCCTTCCAGAGTCCTTTAACTCTGAGTCATCTCCAGAAGAAGTAGCAGCACAGGCTCTGGCTGTTCAAATGTGATTTGTCATTTCACTTGGGCAGGACTTGCTGCTTTTGAAAAACTCTTCATTGTCTTCTTTCTGCTTTAAAAGTTCATTGATTTATACAAATTGTACTCAAAAAAATATCATTGGATTGCTGACTGTGTCCTGTCATCTTGTGATGTCTTTACAGTGAAATATTTCAGTAGCATTCAGATTTGGTTTGCGATGACAAAGGCAGCCTCTACAGGTTCTCCAAGAAGTGTTTCTGACCTGAGGAGCTATAGGGCTTTCGTGTAGATTTATGTAGACTTTGAGTGGTGCATTTGTGGGATACTGTGTCATGACAGGTGTGTCCAGATGTGAGGCAGTTCCACAGTATTTTTTTCATAGGTGTCTGACCTCCCACTCATTTTGGGCCTGGAGCATCCCTGGGAGTTACTCATTGTGTGTATGCTTATGTGGGTGACCACTTGGAGAGGAAAAAGATGTTAGCAGTAAGTAACCGTGAGTTCCTCCGGTTGTGTTGCCCATATGGACATTCACAGCATGCATCCCTTTTTCTCTTGCTCAAGAGTCTTGTGGTTTGTGCTGGTTTTGTACCCAAAGAGAATGCTTAAGTTTCAGAAGAGCTGAAAGCAGGTAGGTTTGCTCTGTCATTTTCTATGCCGTATGTGGCCTGTGAAGGGAGGGGTTCTAAGGTATCCCCACCGTCCTACTAAGACGAGGAGTCTCTGGTTAGAACTCTTGGGCATGCTTACACCTGCAGTGCAAAGGGTGTGCAGACAAAGCAGCTGAAGGAGCACACAGCTGCTGGTAAGTAGCTGCTGTTCTCTCCAGGATGGACAGCCAATGGAAGAAAGCAAGCGTTCCAAGAGTGAGGTGGTCAATGAAAAACAAGACAAAGCAGTAGCCTCATCACACAGCTCTGTCAAGTTGTTTGAGCCAGGTCTGTCGTTACCGATACATGTGTTGGTAACAGTGAATGCAACTGGATTTGTTCTGGCTTGTTTCTTACAGCTAGTTTGATAACTGAGGGCAAAGCTCCAGCTGTGGGGACACGGACCCTAACTTTGGATGTTGTAGTTTTCTGATTTCATGTTTTGTTTAATAGGACATCTTGTTAAGAGCTTGAGTTTCAATGTGGCAACCTTAATTCTGAGAAAAAAACACTTACTACGTAAAGCATCTAGGCAGCATTCAACACTTGTTAGATGTCCTTTTGGAATAGAGAATAGTTGTTATTTTTGTCCCTACAGTGATTACAAGAAAACATTGAGTGATCTTTGGTGGTTTTTCTTTTTTGTTTTGATTTTTTTTAAGGAGAATACTAGTGTTAATTATGAATCCAGTACGTCAGTGGCAGAAGAGTGCCAACGCTTTTCAGGAATTGAGCCTTTGAACAGTTCTGTGGAAGAGATGGATTCATTTGTAATACCTAGCAGGAAAAGAAAATTCAGTTCAGACAAGGAGGAGTAACTTTGTAAGAAGAGATTCTACACATTTTTTAGAGATTACTGAGACAGCTATGATACCTGAAAAAGAAACCGAACTTTCCAAGACTCGTTCTGGAGTTTTAGAAAACAGGTATTCTTTATTGCAGCGCCTGGTGCACGGGGGAATTCTCCTCCTAGTGTGCACACCCAGCTTCTGGACAGAAAATTAGTTATACACTACAATTATGCATAATTCATAATATATTTACATATTATGAAACAATTTTTTCTCGCTTTACATGTAAATTACTTTGCATGCTCAGTTTTCCTCCTCTGCTCCTTTCTTTTGGGTCTGGGGCATATTTAGTGTAGATGGTCCGTGAGTCGGTGGTCGCGATCTCCCCCTGCCGGAATTACCTTTTCCCCCAGGTCACTGCATGTTCACAGCTCAGAAAAACATGGGAACAAAGTTTATGCAGTTTCTGGGTTGTTCCCTCCAAGGGCAGACAGTTCTTGATAAAGAGTCTCTGTTTTAATCACTGCTGGCAGCTTCAAGGATGGCCGTCTTGTTAGTTTCTTTACGTATGTGTAAATCACCTACTGCCACTGAACCCTTCATGAAAAAGTTACACAAAACATTAACCCCTTTATCTTTGGGTAACAATTCCCCCCCTTTCTTTATCCTTGCGAATTCTTTCGCAAAAATTCATCACGTTTAAGAATTGTGAGTAGCACCCAAACCCTGCTAGTCAATTTGGTTAATTTGTACCAGAACATAAAGTTTACAATTGTTAGTGTTGTTACTGCTACTAGTACTACAAGCAAAGGAGGTATTAATAAGTTCAACACACTACTTTCTGATGGTGAATATCCTACAAAAATATCCCACCAATGAAGTTCTCCATCTTTCTTCACTTGTTCCAGGACGTGGTGTATTTCTTCAGCATCATGATGGACAGTTATCAGAGTTTTTTGTCCGTTTTCTTGGGCTTGCTTCAGCAGTCGTCTTAAGTCTTCATGTTGCACCAGTCTTTTCAGCAACGCTGAGTGCATTCCAGTAGGGGGAGGCCACAGGTCGTGCTACAATGTCTAGTTAGATTTCAGTCATTGATAAGATGTGATGGGAGCTAAATAAGTAAAATCACATCCTGTGATAGTTACAAAATTACAGATACAAAGGTTAGAGTGATCATTCATATTTCTAGTAACATTATCTACCAAAATGTAATTACAGGAAATTCTCATGCAAACACATCCATTACCTCTATATACAAGAACAGTTTTAGGTTTTTCGTCAGGATGTATCTCAAAATGACAAACGTTCTGTTCAGTGTCAAGACAGATGTCTTGAGCTCTGATGGTATTGCTTTCACAAATGACTCCTTGTTGCTCTTGCACAACACGTGTTAATGTCAATTTTTTTCCATTTATTCTCACTTTCGTGCCCACATTCTCTGTTCCAAGGGATACAGTGTAGTTCCATTATGATTACAAGGCATGATGGTTACAGCTGTCAGAAGCTGAACTGCTTCTCAAAGTTGAGTATCGTATCGGCATGTTTAATACCTTTTCCTTGTGTGGTTAAAAGTCCTTGTTCTTTCCAGATAGCTCCATGAGCATGAACTACACCCAAGGCATCCTTTGAATCTGTCCATATATTTACTCGCAGTCCTTCGGCAAGCTCCAGCGCTATCACCAAGGCAATTATCTCTGCCCTCTCTGCCCACGTACCTTTTGGGAGAGATCTTGCTTCTGTTACCTGATCAGCTGTTGTCACCGCATACCTGGCCATTTGGGCTCCATTCTTCACAAAGCTGCTCCCGTCTGTGTGTCAGGTATGAGCTGCCTCTTCCAATGGTTCTTCTTTCAGGTCCGATCTGCTCGCATAGACAGGTTCAATTGTCTCTATGCTCTCATGTACGATGGGGTAAGTTTCTTGTTTATCACTCAGGAAAGAGGCAGGGTTAACTATTGTAGATGTAACAATTTCCACATCATCCTGCTCCATCAGGATCGCCTGATATTTTAAGAATCTTGATGATGATAACCAATGTCCGCCTTTCTGTTCTAAAACAGAAATTACTGTATGGGAAGTATAAATGATTATTTTCTGCCCCAGGGTAAACTTGCGAGTCTCTTGAATGATTACGACGACAGCCGCCACTGCCCGGAGGCATCCTGGCCATCCTTTGCTGACTTCGTCCAATTGTTTGGAAAAATACGCTACTGCAAATTCGGAGGGTCCCAGCCTTTGGGCTAATATTCCCAGGGCCACTCCTCGTTTTTCATATACAAACAGCCAAAAAAGTTTCGTCACATCTGGCAAGCCCAAAGCAGGGGCTCTCATCAGTTCTAATTTTAATTCTTTGAAGGCTCTTTTGGCATTGTCAGTCCAGATTAATTGTTTCTGATTGTCTTTCAGTAGTTTGTATAAAGGTTTCACTAACAGTCCATAATTATGAATCCATAAGCCTCACCAACCTGCCATTCCCAGAAAAGTTCGAGGTTCCTTTACCGTAGCTGGTTCTGGAGTCTTGCAGATGGCCTCCTTCCTTTCACTTCCGAGCTGTGTCCCTTGGAAATCCGGTATCCCAAGCAGATCACTTCCTTCTGCAGGATTTGGTCTTTCTGTAACGCCATTCGATAACCAGTTAATCCAAGGAAGTTCAATAGATTCACAGTCCGTTCTTTACACTCTTTTCTGTAGCTATCAAAATATCATCCACATATTGTAAAAGAATGCCATTGCCTGGAGGCCTTTCCCAAAGTTCCAATTCCATTGCTAATTGGTTCCCAGAAATTGTAGGGCTGTTTTTAAATCCTTGAGGTAACACTGTCCAAGCGAGTTGAGTTTTACATCCCGAATCAAGGTTTTCCCATTCAAAAGCAAATAAATTATGGCTTTCAGGGGCCAAGGTGAGACAAAAGAATGCATCGTTTAAATCCAGAGCTGTGAACCGTTCATATGTTTCTTTCAGGCTGGTTAACAAAGTGTACGGGTTTGCTTCTACTGGATACAGATCCTCCACAGTTCCGTTTATTGCTCTTAAATCTTGTACTGTTTTGTATTTCCGATCCAGTTTCTTTACTGGTAAAATTGGGGTATTATATTCTGATTCACATTCAATCAGTAACCCAAACTTTTGGAATTTTTCAATTGGTTCTTTTATGCCCTTTCGGTCTTCCAACCTTAAAGGATATTGTTTTATTCTAACTGCACCAGAACCAGGTTTTACTTCCACCTTTATCGGTACAGCGTTCTTTGCTTTACCTGGAATCTCAGAAGCCCATACCCCTGGATACACTTGATCTAAAATTTCTTCAATCTCTGAGGTACCCTCAGTTTGTTTTTCAATTTGGATCATAGCCAAACTTAAAACTTCAATTAATCGATCATCTTTTACTTTGAATTCTACCTTACCCTTTTCAAAAATTATTTGTGCCTCCAGTTGCTCTAATAGGTCCCGTCCAAGTAAAGGTTTTGGAGATTCTGGTAAATAAAGGAATTGGTGAATCCCTGTTTGTTTTCCAATCTAAAATTTAATTGGCTGTAGAAAAAAAGCCTTTTTCTGCTGGCCAGTGGCTCCTATTACAGTTACAAAATCATGATATACAGGTATTGGTTCTTGATTCAATACAGAATATGAGGCACCCGTATCTATTAAAAATTCTACCTCCTCATTCTTGTTCCCTAGCTTTAATTACACCAGTGGATCCGCCAGGGTAGATTCCCCAGGTCCCCATCATTTAGCTTCAGCAACTCCAATGCCCTTGTTTTCCACACTAAGCACACTGATTGGATCGTAATGTTGTTTGGAAACTCCCTCGAGATCCCCGGCGAGGCCCTCCTCTGCCTCTGCCCCTGCCTCTACTTCCAGGGAATCCTTGGGGTCCTGCACTTTGTTGTTGTAATGCCGAGATTGTCGCTCTGGCTAATGCTCTACTTAATTTTCTCCTTTCATTGCTTTCTCTGTTCCTGTACACCCTCCATGCTTCTTCAATTAATTTCTCTAAATTCCGCACTTCAGGCTCTTTTAGTTTTTGGAGTTTTCTTCTAATGTCTTCTGATGACTGGCCCAAAAACAACGATACCAATTGTTGCTGCCCTACATCAGATGAGTGGGTCTAAGGTGCTATATTTACGCATTGCCAATCGTAATCTGTCTAAGAATTCTGTGGGGGTTTCAGTTTGCCCTTGCTTTACAGCATAAAGTGCTGACCAATTTACAGCCTTTGGGATCGCGTTCTCTAATCCAAATTTTATCCCATTTTGATATCGCTTTAATATGTGACAGTCTGTATTATCATTCGGATCCCAGTGCGGGTCAATCAGGGGAACACATTGATCGACTCCCCCTGCCAGTTTTCCGGCTGTCATTTGAGCCTGCACATGAGTTCGGGCTGTTTTTAGAATTGTTTCTCAGTTTCAGTCATTGCGTCTGACATTATATCTATATCTTTCCAGTCTGGGTCTTGATTTTTAACTATGAATTCAAATCTTTTGGTAATTCCTGATAGATCGTCTCTGTAATTTTTGACCACTTCCCTCCAGGCATCCAAGTCTCCCATATAAAAAGGGACTTTAATTGTCATCGGTCCTGCCAGCCCCAGAGTTTCTCTAAGTGGTGCCTGGAGAATTGGTCTTGTTTTACTATGTGTTCGGGCAGTAATCTGGGTTGATTTCCCCCACTGCCCCCCCTTCCTGAATTATCGTTCCCATTGTTCTCATCAGCAGGAGGTGTTGATGCAGGAGGTAATGCTGGTGTTAGTGTTGGTGATGTAGGAGGTGATGTTGGTGTTACTCTCCCCACTGCCCCCCCTCCTGATTTACTGTTCCCATTGTTCCCTTCAGCAAACCCCATGGGTAATGCAGGAGGTGGTGATATATAATCTTCAATCTTTTCCTCACCTTCCCGATCTTTTGCTTTCAAACACCTTTCTCCATTACTACATGCTGAACAACATTGCTTCAGCTTTCCTTGTTCCTTCTTTTTATCTTTTTCTAGTGTCAAAACAAAGGGGTCCTTAGGGGCTAAATTTATACCACATTCCTTTTGCCACTCAGGATGATCTCTTAAAGTGAAAAACATATCAGCATATAACACGTCATTCCATTTTTCATTTCTTCTGAGAAACAGCATCAATTGCAGTAGAGTATTATAATTCAAAGTTCCATTATTTGGCCATTTTTCCCTCTCTTCCAATTTATATAACGGCCACCACTGGTTACAGTATTTAACTAAACTTTTCTTTTTTACATTTCCTCCCGGGGGACCCCCAATATCTTTCCAATGTGCTAAGACACATCCTAACGGACTCTTTTTTAAAATTTCCCCGCTCTGTTGGTTACCCATTATTTGCTGGATTATTATTATCCCAATCCTGTTGTTACCAAAGAAACAACTAGAACTAAAATACGCCTCCTAGATATAAACAATTACCATTAAAATAACACGTTCACTCTTATTTTCTATCACTTTGTCTATCTCCATCTGTTTCCATCGCGGGAGGACAGAACCGTAGCTCAAGACTCCGCACTCGTTTTGTATTAAAAGTATGTCTCAGTCACACACACGACAAAAACAAGTTTTACAATCACAAAAATATCCAACCATACAAACAATTAATACAACTCATGGAACCACACAAACAATCACATAGGATTCAATCATTAACATTTCAGCTTCCAGATGGTTTCTGGTGGGACTGGTACCCACAACTGTAACCAAAGTATACCTTTAAGGCACCGGCTGCCCAGTATACGCTGTCCTGCACAAGTCTCAGCTTACGGCTTACGGAGAGCTACCCTAATGGACCGGTCCCCAAACCAAAAGAATACCTTTTCTAAGATGATACTTGTCTGCTCCCGCAGTGATCTGATTGAGGCAAGGAGTCCCTCCGGGGATATCCCCGGAGGTGTCCAAGGGTGTCCTTTTCTCAGCAGGTCCTGCAGCCGAACAGAGAGGGTCCCATCTGGGTCGCCAAATCTGATACCTGAAAAGGAAACTGAACTTTCCAAGACTCGTTTTAGAATTTTAGAAAGCAGCTATTCTTTATTGCACGCTAGGAGGAGAAATCCCCCGTGCACCCAGAGCTGCAATAAAGAATACCTGCTTTCTAAAACTCTAAAATGAGTCTTGGAAAGTACAGTTTCCTTTTCAGGTATCAGCTACTCTGAAACTGTTACAGAAAGGGGAGATCAGAATACTCTAGTTCTTGTCTGCAGTGTAAGTACTCCATTGTGCCTTCAGTTAAAATATTCTACTTGTACAACCTCTCAGTATACTTACCAACATGTTTCTATAGATATGCTCATGCTAATTACTCTTATGTGGAAAAGGGTACAAATTATATCAGTAAATAAACCCTGAAGTTCTGTGAGTTGTGTCAGAAACCTGGATATCACAATATTGAGATGAAGGCCATCGATATATTTGCTGGAGGGTGACAGTGCTATGAAGGAAACACTGAGTTTCTGAACACTGAGACGACTGGAAGTAACAGGGAAAAAACCCACCAGCCTGATGAAGTTAGCGTAGAAGTCCAACCCTTTTGTCTCAGATCACTAACTAAATTTTGTACCAGGCTGCTGATGTGCAAGCTGAAATACACGAGAAAAACAAGCAGCAGAACATCTGAGGCCAAACAATTCACCAATGTAGTAACTAAAGGAAAAACCTAAATGTCCCCAGAGCAGAGAGACACAAGAGGACCCAAAAGTGCTTTGGATCCATTCTAGAAGAAAAGTTGGTGCAGCCTGCAAGTCTCGCAAGAAGCTATTTCGAAGAGCTG